CATCATCTATGATAGACTCTTTGATTTTTAGATGATTAATGACTTATGCTAGTGTGCTCGATGAATACAAAAATTTGTAATTGAACTCCATATTGTATTTATTCAAAATTTTCACATAAAAAAAATGATCATATATTTATTCAAAATTTGGGGTTTTCAAAAAATATTTATTCACAAAAAACTATGATTATTTAACGAGTATTCATAGTCATTCAAACAAAATATAAATTGAAAAAGAAAGCTCCAATAAGCAATCGTTTACGCCTTAACTATAACCGTCACTTTGATAACTTTAAGTAAAAAAAATGAATTTTATTTATTTTTGTCATTGTAATATTCAGATTTTATGAAAGAAACTTAGAAATTTTGAAAAATATTGTAAAAAACAATACATTTTTTAATTATAAATATCTATTTGATAGCGTTATACATATTCCGATATAATTCCGGTTACATCACAATAATGTTATAAACATTTTATAAGATCTTAGGCGCGTCGTTCATTATGATTTGTGGACTTTAAATTCCGAGATATATTATTTATTCCCAATAAAAATGTCTCTGTTTAACCTAAAGTTAAACAAGGACGCCCATCGTATAGGTCGCGAACTAAGAGCACAGTGTAATCGTAGCTATTATTTTTATAGATTTCTGTTTTTTCTTGCAGGCTTGCAAGTTATGTGCTGAGAATACAGAGTAAAAGCGATTACGAAACGAAAATATTCGTAATCGTATTAAAAAAATATTTATTCAAATGGAATGAAAAAGTATTTATTCGTTTTTTGATGAATAAAAAGGAAGTGTATTCGAATGAGTATCTTCATTCATTTTTTATGTACAATATTCATTTCAAAAGTACAGAGAAGTACAATTTATCAAATAATTTTATGAGCTTACAGTAGACTATAATCCTAAAGTCATTATAATTATTTAATGTTTGAACAAATGTAAAATATATTTTAGTTTTAACGTGTTGTTGAACACGTTAAGAATTTTAACGATGTTAAATTTTACATGTATGGAACATGTGTTAATTTTGCTTTTTTATCAATAAACTATATTTTATATTAAACATAGTTAATTAATGTTTATATAACCAAATTCTGTTTCTGGAACAGATTTTCCCTTCCCTCCCTTTTTCTTTTAGTAAATCGTCGCTGCTTTCCATTTGATGACACAAGCGTCGTTTTATCCTTCTTGGACATTCAGAGAGTGACAAAGATAGAACGATACTTGTGTCGACTGACTGTCTCTTAAAAACTGTGTCTCTTAAAAGGAAAGCAGCCATTGGGAGCTTTCCAACAAGCGACACTGTGCGACACAGCGATCACCTCATCCTTGTTTAACATTGGCGAACAACAAGAATGCAACGATTCGTGTCACACCGTGTCACTCTGTCTTTTGTTGGAAAGCTCCCTTAAACAAAAAACAGAATTGTATTAAAATATATTACATAAAATCTATAAAAAATGCAAATGGCAAAAATAATTGTTATATAATACCACATGTATAAGATAAAAATGCTCTAGAGCGTCATTCAAAAGTTTGACAACTATGAGTCAGACTCTGTGTTCGACTATGCTTTTCGGTTGTGTCTAATCGTGCCGTGGCGAGTCGTTGCTGGAAAGCACCACGTCGAACACCGTGTCGACTTGTGTGTCGTTTAAAGCTTTAATGGAAAGCACCCGCTTCTATTGTGTCCAATCGTGCTGTGGCGTGTCGTTGTTGGAAAGAATCATTTCCGACGATGTGTGTTACCTTAATAGAAAGTTCCCATTATCTCTGTCCGGTTTTGTCCGGTTATATTTTGTTACCAAATGACAAAATGTCCGTTAATTTACATTTTTGGATCTGGCAACCCTAATTGTATCTAATGTGATTACGATGTTCTATAATTCTAGTTTTCAATTGTCTGCCCGTCTGTCCAACATATAAGACACGTCACAGTTATTACATGAAATCTTATATACTACATTGCTCTTGGATGTGTGTAAACGAGGATCTTTTGCACTTTGATATATTTGTCCATTTTATTGGGGTTGTGAAAAGATATCCTGATGTTGTTCTTACTGAATCTTTTAAACTTTTCAGTGTGGAAAGGAATGAATGGTATCGTAAGCCAAGATGTAGAATCGTTCGTGCAGTCAATGTCATCCGAATCTCTGCATATTGCGCCCTTGTTTCTCATTATATTCCTAATTCGTTGATTAACTGTGTCAAAAATAAAAGTCAATGGGTAGTCGTTATTTAATAAAATATTAATAATAAGTTTTGTGTGTTAAATTTTGTGTATGAAATTCGCAGTCAGAAAATAGAAAAGCTCTATCAACCAAAGAAAAGATTGTGCCCTTCTTTTGTGAAATAGGATGATTTGAATGGAAATTTAAAAATCAGAGAATTTGTATTTTTAAAAGCATAGAATTTGCGTTTTAAACGAAAAAAATGTGATTTTAGAACAAAGAATTTGTTTTTAAAGCAGGAAATATTTTATTATGTATAATGTACACTTTTTCCATTCTTTTTACAATATATGAACAGAAGTTTAAATCTAACATTTCGTGAAAATAAACACTGTAACTGTAACTGTAACTGTAAACACGACTACGTTGTTATCGCCCAAATTTCTATAACGATCGAAATTTTTTTCCTTTAAAACTCAAATTCAATGCTTTTAAATATACAAATTCTCTGCTTTAAAAATACAAATTTTTTATGCGGTCTAAAGACACAAATTATATAAGAAAATATTTTGCGATGTTAAAGCAGGGAATTTGTCTCATCGAAGACAAATATTGTAACTATACTCCGTGTTTGCTGGGATATTATTTCTTCCACAACGTTCACACAACTTCTCAAACGATTGATACCAATGTGATGGAAATGTACCGAATGATATCAATGTGATGGAAATGTACCGAAATGAAACACGCGATATCTTACACTCGCGAGAAAAAAATTAATGGAAGAGAGTGATGCCATCGCGAGTGATTAATTTAATAGAACAAAGCAGGCAAATAAACTAACGCACCCGTTCACGCGGTCCTCAATAACCGTCGAAGACGAGAAGTTAGAATGCCACCTCACTTGACTTTCAAAAATCACTCGTCGCTTGAACGGACAAAAATTAATTCAGTTCAAGTGTTCTCAAGAGAGAAAGCTTATCACAAGGTGTATTAAGATTCAAAAGGAATTTTGACGTTTACGTCGATTTGTCAAATCGATGCGCTAAGGATGGCAGTGTGTGTTCTTTCGTAGTTCCGTTCGGCAATGGTCGAGGTATCGCATTATACGAGTACATTGAATAAAACGTTTACAAAATTTTTGTAAACATTCATTTATTAATATTACGGCAGTATAATGTGCGTAACTATAGCTAAATAGTATCTGTTATATCGTATAATAAATCAACCTGACTAAGACTCCTTATAAATCCGAAAACAAGGAAAGAACAAGGGCAATAGGAGTAAGCGCGGGAGACGTTGCGCAAATAACACGACTATCGTAGCGTAAAACTTCTTTATTTTACTAAAGCGCTTACATGTTTCGGCTCATTTTTGAGCCTTCTTCAGAGACAACTAATAAACTCACATACATAGAATATAACAATTATTAACTAGTCATGGTGATCTTCCTCACCTTGAGAGTATAAATGCCAGAATTAAATCCAGATAAGAATGCAGTAAAAAAAGAAAAAAAGGGGAAGAAATTTTGAAAATCTCGAAATAAAGAAAATGTAAAACTAATGTATCAAAAAATTTTGAAATTATAATTAATTATTCCGATGGTTAAAAAGCTCACCCTGATCACAAGATACCGCATCGCAAACATTACTCTTAATAATTCAAAAACCGGTTTCTGATAAGTTGGCCAGTCAGTGTCAGACACAGTTAGTCTCTTTTTGATTTAATTGGTCTTTATTGAGACAGTAATTAGAAAACTAGCGTTAAAAAATTAATCAAAATCAAAAAAAGAAATTTTGAAAATGATCTAAATCTATTATATAATATAAACAGTATTGTGAACAGTACGGTGAACACTCTATGTACTAGTGAGTTGATTGCTGACTGTTTTTGTGCTGAATGGTGGTGCGACTCGGCATGTAGGTATCTGTCTGTGTGTGTCGGTTTCCTGTACACTTGATGGCCTAAGGTGCCGTCAGCTTTCTTAGAGACAAGAACATCTAGGAAGGGGAGTTTTCCGTTTTCCTCTATGTCTATAGTGAAGTGGATATTTGGATGTTGTTTGTTGAAGAAAGTAAGGAATTTACGGAGTTCGGCTCTGCCGTGTCTCCATATCACGAATGTGTCATCTACATAACGGAACCAAACTTCTGGTTTTTTGGGTATTTTTCGGAGGACCTCTTTCTCAAAATGCTCCATGAAGATGTTGGTTATTACAAGAGAAATAGGAGCTCCATCGCCGCTCCTGAAGTTTGTTCATAAAATTGGTTGTTGTAGGAGAAATAAGTAGTTGTTAAGCAGTGCTCTATTAGCGGGATGAGGTCGGAAGGGACTTCATGTGAAGCCTTTATTATGTTTAATGTGTCTTTTATTGGGACTTGTGTGAAAAGGGATTCTACGTCGAAACTTACAAGTAGGTCCGTGGGGCGTAGTCGGATTTTTTGGATCTTTCGTATGAAGTCTGTTGAGTTGGTTATGTGTGATTCGGTTTTTCCAATGAGTGGTTGTAGGGTTCGTGCTTAGAAGCGGGATAAGTTGTATATCGGGGAGTGTATGGCACTGACAATCGGTCTGAGGGGGACGTTTGGTCTATGTATTTTTGAATATTCTGAGCTTTACAAAGTTAATGTTATTTTTTGCGCGACATCGCTTAGAAACAAGATGTCCTGAGCCGCGTGGACAATTATCCAAATTGCGTAGTCCGGAAATATTTCAGCGCGCAGTTCGGTAGATTACAAGGGTGGTATATATATCATATTTAGTGATTAATATGGTCTGAGGGGGATGTTTGGTCTATGTACAAATCCCCTTCCACCAAGATTATAGTCCGTATAGTCTTGGTGGAAGGGGATTTGTAGGTTTTAATGAAGGTTTGGCTTCATTGGGAATTTTGCTTATCTCCACTAGGATCTTGGTGTTTTGTGCGATTCTGTTGGTTGGATCTTTGTCAAGCATTTTGTATGCTTTGTCCGAAAGAAGGTTCTTCATCTTTTTCTTGTAGTCTGATGTGTTCATGACTACTGTCGCGTTGCCTTTGTCGGCTGGAAGCACGATGATGTCTGCGTCCCTGTTCAGGTCTTGGAGGGTCAATCGCTCTTGTCTAGTGGTGTTTGGTGGAGGAGTTTTGGCTTTGGAAAGGATATTGGATATATCCTGTCTGCGTATATTATCTGCTTGCTCTGCTGGGAGTCGGTAGATGATTGACTCTATTTGGCTGATAATCTCTTCTTTTTGGAACTTTCTTGGTGCCACTGCGAAGTTAGGATCTTTGGCAAGTGCAGATATGGTGTCTTGAGATAGGTCTTTGTTGAATAGGTTCTTGACGTTGAGTAGAGAGGGTTGTGGTTTTTTGTGAGGGACAAGGTTCATGTATTTCTGTTTCTGTCTTTCAGAGGATTGTGTGAGGGTCTTCGTGGCTTGTTCGTATGTAATACGATCTAGGGTTTGCCAGATGTCATGCCGCAACGTAGCGGATAGGAGCAGGTGGAGTTTGAAGGTTTTATGGGAGATCTGGGCTATTTGTGACTCGGTAAAGTGGATGCGTTCTTTGATAAGGATGAGGCTGGTTTTTTGAAGGATGTTTTTGGATTTGTGGGTTCCTAGGTGGTCCTTGAGTTGTAGGAACTTTGGGATGATGTTGTTATCCCTGCAGCGGTTTAGGAATGCCAAGTTTGATAATTTCTTGGCTAGGGAAGACCTGAGTTTGCTGAAAGTGTTTATTTTAACAAGTATCCTCTCCCTGTAGAGGTATTTTACAATTTTCTTGAGGCTTCCAGGGTGCTTTCTGTATGAAAGTTTCCCGTTTCGCGGATTTTCTCCGTGTCTAGATCCATTCTTGGAATTCCAACGTTTCGTGAACCTTGCAGTCCACTTCATCAGGGCGAGGAGCAGCCTGATACTGGTCTGTTCCTCCAGAACGTTCCTTTTTATATTACGCTGCCTGTTGGAGTGGCTGTGGGGGGATTATGGGGAGGGGGAAAGGTGGTGGGATTGGTCTGTCTTCGGTAACCGGGAGAATGGGAGTTCAATAACTATTTGACAAAGCGACCAGAATAGCCAACATAACATTATACTTCCTAAGAAAGTATAGAGAAGCCATAGAAATACAAAAATGCAGCCGCCGTGACTAGTGATTGCCGGTGTCGATGGACATGAAATAACTTTAATTTTCGATGGAAGTCTGGCTTCCACCAAAGTTTAATTTTTGAAGACTTTTGCCTCGGGATCTTTCGTGACACAATTGGATGCTACGTTCTTGTAACAAATTAAGCGTCTAGGTGTTCGTTCTCGAGGAATTAAAAGTCTAGATGTTTGCCGTCGAGGAAGTGGGTGTCTAGGTATTCGCCGTCCAGGAAATGGATGTCTAGGTGATCGCCGTCGAGGAAGTGGGTGTCTACATGTTCGTCGTCGAGGAAGTTGGTGTCTAGATGTTCGCCATTGAAGAAGTGGGTGTTTAGGTGTTGTCTACATGTTCGCCGTCGAGAAAGTGGGTGTCTAGGTGTTCGCTATTGAGGAAATGGGTGTCTAGGTGTTCGCCGTCGAGGAAGTGGGCGTCTAGGTGTTCGCTATTGAGGAAATGAGTGTCTAGGTGTTCGCCATCGAGGAAGTGGGTGTCTAGGTGTTCGCCGTCGAGGAATTAGGTGTCTAGGTGTTGTCTATACATTTACACGACACCCTTAACCGGGTTTAATAATATCTGTCGTTATGAAATTAGCCAATCATAGCTGTTCCTCGGAAGAACGGAAGTGTTTATTTTAACAAGTATCCTCTCCCTGTAGAGGTATTTTACAATTTTCTTGAGGCTTCTTGAGGCTTCCAGGGTGCTTTCTGTATGAAAGTTTCCCGTTTCGCGGATGTTCTCCGTGTTTAGATCCATTCTTGGAATTCCAACGTTTCGTGAACCTTGCAGTCCACTTCATCAGGGCGAGGAGCAGCCTGATACTGGCCTGTTCCTCCAGAATGTTCCTTTTTATATTACGCTGCCTGTTGGAGTGGCTGTGGGGGGGGTTATGGGGAGGGGGAAAGGTGGTGGGATTGGTCTGTCTTTGGTAACCAGGAGAATGGTCTTCAATAACTGTTTGACAAAGACCAGAATAGCCAACATAACATCATACTTCCTAAGAATGTATAGAGAAGCCATAGAGATACAAAAACACCCTAACAATCTAAATAGAGACAATGGCTACAACATAAATAAAATATGGAAGACCATTCTTCCGATTACCGAATTCAATCTTGGATTCAAGATTGAATTATTTAAGCATTTAAGATCTAGCTTCGATCGATATAGGACTCTAATTTATCGATAGTTTTTGTTCAGAGATTTTCATCGAAACTTATTGTTTGTATGATTAAACCGTCCAATTCCCTCCAATTCCATATTTATAACTTTGCCATATTTATAACAACCATATTAATCACTAAATATGATACATATATCACCCTTGTAATCTACCGAACTGCGCGCTGAAATATTTCCGGACTAAACGCAATTTGTATAATTGTCCACGCGACTCAGGACATCTTGTCCCTAAGCGCAAAAAGTAACATTAACTTTGTAAAGCTCAGAATATTGCTTACAACAAACAGTGTATATGTAAATTCATAAACGTTGACTATGTAAACTCTAAATAAACTGTGCCTACGAATTCAGCATTTACTGTGACCAAGTTATTTATTAAGTGAAAAGACAGTAGAGTTATTTGGTTAACTCGCTGTCACACAACATTTTTTGGTGCCTCCTGTGAGGTATAAACTACAAGTGCGATCTTACAAAGTGTCATCATCACAGCCAGCCATTCAAGGATCTCCAGGAACTCAGGTCAATAATTGTGGCAGATCTACAGTACTGCGCATCCGCCTACGTAAGCACGCAGTGCTAGCAAGCGCTACTACAACAGGACTTATCGGCAACTCGCCGAGCAAGTAAGTCATTCGTTTCAATCCTATCCGAATTCTTATCATGGCTGACAGAATTAAATTCCATCTGCAAAAGCGGACATCGTTGAAAACTCAAACAACGAATCTCACGAATGCCCTCGAGAAACGTTTTAGACGATGCCACGATGAAATTACGAATCGCGTGTCTCACCGAACTCTATCACACGTACGAGGAACATCACGATGAGCTCGCAATATTAGATCCAAGCGATGCACATGAACAAGAATTTATAAGTGTTAAAAATTACGGTTGTATAATGAGAGAAGAAATTACCATTTTTTGGTAACACTACGCGCGTGGCGGTAATGCCGCCGATCTAGCAAACCGGTTGGCGGCATTGACTAAGCCAACCGTGTAGTGGCGCTGCGTGCTTTCTTCTTGGAAGGAAGAGGATCGTTCTGCCATGTTGGCGCGATGAGTGAGCATCGTGGAGCTTATTCGGCCATTTTAAAATATTTATAAAATGTTATTATTATCAATTTAATAATAATCCCAGCATGTCCAAAATCAGGGCATAAGACATCGTAAAGATGTCTTGAAAGCAATCTTTAACATGCCTCATGTCTCAATTTTAGATAAACATGCTGATTGTATATAATGTATTTATTATAAATCTGTCGGGTCAATTTTTAGTACAACAGAATTGTAAAGTTCGTAACATGTTCTCCTTACAAATGCTTTATGTAATATATTTACAAGCAGCTTCTTGCTAGCCGTAATATTTATGAAAAATTGTAATTAATATTTATGAATCTTACGATACATATGCATAGAATTTTAACATCATAAGTTTTTACAAGTTTTATTTAAATTTTTTTGAAATTGAGCACGTCTTGGAAAAGAGAATCACTCAATTTTCAATCTCTTAAGAGACTTTACTCTTTAGAGTAAAAATTCATTTAGAGTAAATTTTCACTCTAAAGTTAGAAAGTACGAGAACAGGTAACAAGCCTTACGATTCTGCTTAGAATTGATCCATGTACTGTTGAAATAAATTCCTGGTGGAAATAAATTGTTGAAATCATTAAAATCTCTATTAATTAACCTTCTTTCAGTAGAATATTAAAAATGGATCAATTGATAGAGATTTCAGTGATTTAATTCCACCAGGAATAACTTTAACTTGATATAGAACTTGTATATTGAAATAATGTTTATTATTAATACAATAGATATGACGTCTTGGACGAAAGAAGCTGTACAACTTTTGATTGATGCATATAAAAATGAGCCTTGTCTCTATGCAACAAAGAATCCAAACTATCACGATAAAAATTTACGAAATGAAGCATTAAAGCGAATTTCCACAACAGTTTGTACTGTTATACTGTTAGACCGGATACTAATGAAAAAGAATGCAGTGTAAAATTTCATAATTTACGGAATCAATTTAATGCGGAAAATGCAAAAGTAAGGGCCTCACTAAAGAGTGGTATAGATACTAAAAATGTGAGTTATTAGAATAATTAATCACATGGTCTTATATAGTTTGTTTTCTGTTCTTGCATTTGACTGCATTAGAATTCTCTTTCTTGCTTTCAACAAATACCAAACATGTACCTATCTCACTTTGGCTGTGTTCCAAATTTGACTGCCAGCACTGAAAATCTATAGTGCACGTAACGTAAACTGTTGTATTTTCAGTGCTAGCAGTAAATTTGGACAACAGCTTTTAAGTTCGATATAATAAAATCGAAAGAATGTTAAAGAATTTTTTAACTTTTTTTCGATTTTAGTACAAGGTCCACTGCATCACCTCTTAATTTTGCGTCTACTTTAATCCTATAAAAGGATTTTTTATTCCGTTCAGTCAATTCGAAGATTTTTATACGACTGTAATGTGATAATTTGGTTACTCCAGCATCTCCTTAATAATTAAAATCGGACAGTTGTTTTTTGAACGCTCACCGGCACGTTGCAACTTGTACAATTTCGATTTACCCACCGAAATTTTCTCTTAATTTCGGCCGAAACCGAAATCAAACCCCGAAATCCTGATTTTTTTATCGAAATTGACTAAAACCGAAACCGAAATTTCGGTCGGACTCTAGCCGAATAGCACCCTACATGTTCTATCAGGCCTATCGAGTAAGCGATAAGAACTCCACACCCTGTGTCGAGCGGAAGATCGATGGCACTATTGTAATATAGAGATTGATATGGATCCGGCAAAAGATGTTACCTGCGACTGCGTTGGCATTGTTAAAGTAAGCGTAATGTTGATGTCGAGCATAGGTTTTCTCAAGAAGTCGGGCTGTTACAAGGGCCGTTACAAGAGTTGTTACAAGGGCTGTTACAGGAAGAAGCAAGAAAAAATCCACGCGATGCCGCATGGTCTTCCGCACGACTATCTAGTATGCTGATGGGACTACAGAGACCCCGCAAATCTGTTGCCAGCCAATAGTCTGCAGTGAGTTGACTGATACAATGAATATTTTATTCAGACACATAGAAAAGCAAATAAGGGAATTGATTAACATTTTGCGGTCCGCGCATATATTACATATACATAATTATATCATCTGACTATAAATTACAGCTATAATAAAAACTGAGTCGCATATTTTTATCGTAAACTTGTGTGATTTAATTATGCTGTTTAATCCTTTGAAGAGCTTTCTAATAAAATAACTTATGAAAGATCTTGCTTTAAAAAAATTTTTAGGATCGTTGAATTGAAAAAATTGGAAATGGAGATTCAAACTCAATTAAGAACATTTACGATTTGTTCAGTTTTTTTATAGAGTCATCGGTCTTGTATGTTCGCAGCCCAACCACCTGGTATTCCGAGATCTGCAAAAAGTCTCCGATGTTCGTGCACCGGCAGATTAGAACTCAGCATACTCGGTAAAAACTTCCTGAAGGACACTCGAATAATCTTTCAGCGACGAT